TTCTTCCATTTTTTTAAAAAATCTCTGGCAAATCACAGAATGCTCAATGGCTGCTGGAAGAACCATTAGCATGCATGAAAAACACGGGTGATCACACAGGGCTCTTCCAATTTTGGTTCAAAACAAGTATTTATGTTATAATTCATTAGGAATGGCATTCTCATATGGTATGTATACAACATAAACTACCTTAGGAAATGCAGTATGTTTTCTCATAAACATTCACATACACACCCTTTCAAGAAAAATGAAAAGGAATTATCAGTTATCCTGCCAAGTTCTGAAAAACAGCCACAACAGAATTTACTAAAACACAGCCGGGCAACAAGAAAAAAATTTATTCTTAAACTATGGAGGTAATATTTTCATCAGTCACCACTAACATGAGTGATAATGGAGAAAGAGAAACGCTGGGTCCTTATCCTCATAAATTTTAACCCATTGACTAATCTGTTGCCAGCCTTGAATTCAATAAGAATACTGTAAGTTGTGCAAATAAAGAAGTGGAAACTGTCCCACGAATCTTTGTAAAGGCAAATCACCAAGCTGAGTTGCGAAAATGCAGGGATCCAAATGGATTCAAATATGATCTGGGACATAATAAGTGAGATATGAAGGTGGCTTAGTCAGAATGTTTTTAGTTGTTTCTTAAAAATGAAGGTGGCTTAGTCAGTATCATGGTGAAAGGCTGGAACAATTGACAGCAACATTCCTAATGACTCGACTATGACCCCAATTCCACATTTTACTCACTAATTAAGAGAAAATCAACATCTTTCAGAATTCATCTTGCTGTATCAATCTCCACACTACTTACTATCCTCAAATCAAGCATCATATAATCTCTCTCACTTGAAGCAGGGTTGTTACAGAAATGACTTTGAAGCTGTGAAACCATTCTTTTCCAACCATTATGAGGGCTACAACTGTGGCTACTTTTAGTCCAGATACAGTACTAAAATCAAATATGCTATGGCTGGAATCCTGCTGGCATAGCTCTGCACATACTAAGGATGATGATGTCATGAGCCACAGACCTTTACCTTTCACTATATGTTTCCTATTCCCTTCTCCTGGTTCTGAGGCTCTCTAGGGATCCCCTTTCAACCTGGGAAAGCTTATGGGAGCCTCAGGACAGTTGAGGGGGGGCTTTAATGTCCAAAGAGTCACTCTGGAGATTAACCACTTAGATACATTTTAACCAGTAACAGGAATGTGAGAAAAAGACCTGAGAGCACAAACGTCTTATTTACAAAATACAATATAATGGGATCTGCAGGATGGTAAACATTCTGTGGTAAACATGGCCTATTTTCAAATTCTCACTCTTATATATTCTTTTCTTTCTTTCTTGCCTGTTCTTCTCTCACTACAGGGACCTAAGGAAGCTCGCACATAGTTTCCAACAAGAATAAAAAAATGCTGTATAAAAACAAATTAAACATGGAATAATACTTAAAGCAGCTTATAAAAACTATTTTGAAACTTAGAAAACAAAGTCTCAGGTGAGATATGGGGGGGAAAGGTGCAGTATCTTGCAGTAAAACTCAACTGTGTCCAGCTACAAGCTTGTATTAAAAGGGTGGCCTTTGCCACCTAAAGGGCAGTAGTGGGGGAGACAACATGGGCTCTTGAAGGAGGACATCCTATAAGATGGGGTACCACTAAAAAGTTCCTCCCTCATGTGTTTATCAAATGTGCCTATGAAGGTAGGGTGATGCAAAGAAGGGCTTCCTTCAAAGATCTTAAGGCCCAGGCAGGCTTGTTTCTGGAGATATGATCCTTCAAATAGTATTTTAACATTGAATGTACAAAAGTATTGCACACCCCTTCGGCTTGCAGGACCTCCCCCCTCCCCAAGTACAAAGCCAAAGAGCAGTTTCTTATGAGAATGCAGAACTCAGAGAAGCTTGGGCAGAACATATGTACAGTATGCAGGTATTGTCTTTGCCTCTATGACAAGAATATTAGGCAAATCAAAGGTGTGCAGCCGAATGTGGCCATCTAGCAGCTTTTCGGACTGTAACTCCTATGATTCCTAACCATTATCTCAAGTACCCAGAGCTTGGGAGATGCACTCCAACAACGTGGAGGGAAGCCACAGTTACATATCCTTGGTGCAAATATAAACATTGCCTCTGAGGACATACCGAGTTCCCTATCACTACTGAGCCCCTGTAACACATTTCACCCATTTCAGACTACCAGACACTATTTTCATGCAAGCTTAAGCCCCAGTGCACCCTCCCGCTTTTCGTTAACAGCCCCTGCGACACTTTTTACCCGCCCAATAAGGGAAATAAAGAAGCACACACCCCCGACCCAGACAATTAAGCCTCGCTGCCCACCAGGTCCTGCCCCCTCGCTTTCAAGGCTGAGAAAGACTCCTTTTTGACTCACTGGCAAGAACGAAGGAAAATGGAGAGGAAAAGAGGCTGGGAGGATTCGGCTCACACTACCTCGTTAGTACCGATCAAGACTGACAGCTGCGCCCGCCAATCAACGGGCTGGTTTTTCCGCGGCCGAACCCACGAACCAACGGCAAAAGCGTAAGCAAAAGAAGGCGGGCCGTGAGGGAAGCAGCACGTTGCGATGCGCCAGCTCCTTCTGCTACTACGCTGTGGGCCTGGAACCCAAAACCCACCCAAGCAAGAACGACGAATTTCGGCTCCCCTTTAGCTTCGGCTTTCCCTGCCGCCACCTCAGCTCGTCAAAGGCCTACAGACAACAGTGATTTATTTCGGCCAACGGCCCGGCCTCACCTGACGGATCTCCTGACAGCACGAGCAGCAGGGACAGGAACAACTCCTCCTACGACTCCAGCTCCGCTTCACATTCAAACCTCGGTGAGAGGGCGCGGCGGCGACGTCATGACGTGATACGCACGGCGCCACTCAACTCTCCACCCTCTTGCAGTCGTAGCCAATCAGCGGCCGGCGCCTCCAAGCGTTCCAGCCAATGCCAAGCGCGCTCCTCCTCCAATCAGGCGAGCCAATCCGCAGCTTCTGCCCTCTTGAGTTCCCAGAGTATACCACGCCAAGTCTGAGCTTTGCTAGGGAAATGAGCCAGAAGGAGGGTGGTGCGCCAGGGTGGGAGAGTCCTCGCTATTCTCTTCCTCTGTTGACTTTTTTACTGATCCTCTCGGAGTATTCAACGTAGTGGACCTGCATTGCCCCTGTTTCGGCCAACTTTTTGCAGTCAGGGTGGATTTGATTTAAATCACGGTTTACATCACTGCAGGATGGATAAAAATCCGATTTTTAAAAAATCATTGCTTTCTATCTACTATGCAGTGATTTAAATCGATTTGATTTAAATCATATCCACCCTGCTTATAACATATCGTTGTAAGAGTCTGTGTAATAGTCTCGGGGATAGAGTGCCAGACTGCATAATAGGTAGAGGGACGAATTAGGAGATTTGGATTCAAGCCCCCGCTAGACCATGGAAACCCACTGAGGGGTGTCAAAAGGAAAAACATTCTTTATCTCACATTCCTCGATAACTATTTTGGGGTTGCTATAAGGCGGAGTCGACTTAATGACACATCAAGTATGACATTGTGGGAATTGTCCGACATCTCAGTGAATTCTATTACGTATCTTAAACAGTGAAACTTGCAGGAATTGCCAGCAATACATCCTAAGGTTCCTTTTCTATTTGTCACAGCCTTTTTCTGCTTTTCAAAGTGGTATGCATGTTTGCCTTTTTGATTTTGATGATGACATCTAATGATGACCAGACACCCTGGAAAAAAAAGATCTGTTGAGCTCAGCCATAGAGAATAGACATTTGAAAAGTGCATAGTTCAGGACAACAAAATATAGCCAATATCTCTAAATACCCATTAGGGTTGTCATCCATGCATCATTTCATACTGAAAACAGCATTTGCTTCCCTTTGAGCCAAAGGTAAAATACACCAATAAGAGAATGAACTACAGTTTGTTTTCACATACAGTACATTATCCATGATTGCTGTTGTCATCTCTCCTGCTTTATTTCCCTTTGAGCCAAAGGTAAAATACACCAACAAGAGAATGAACTACAATTTGTTTTCACATACAATACATTGTCTTCTCATGATTGCTGTTATCATCTCTCCTGCTTTATCCCCCTAACCTGCCTCTGACATGGGTGTTAGCTTGAGAGAAATCCTGGTCTTCAAGCTTAGTGTAGCAATAGCGGCAGCACCAAGCATGCCTGTATACTTTCTGTAGAGCTTACTCCCAGTCAGCTTTCATAAGTGTGCAGTCTGATTTGTTTACCTAGTCAGCAGTAAATCCTGCTACGCTCAACATAATTTATGGCTCAGCAAGTAGAATTCTTGGAGGGTTGGTCACCCTTCCTATCCTAGGATGCAGGAGGTGCTCAGCCATTTCTTAAGACCAGGTCAGGATGGACTGAAACCCTTCCCTCTGAAAATGATTGGGCAGAATGGGATCAAGACTCTTGAATAGTTAAGCCCCTTCAACAAGAATAAATTTTTTAAAAAATCAGGAAAAGGCTGCATGGTCAATTCCTTACAGAGCACATTACCATAGTCTTTCGAGACTGAAGGATGCCTATACTATTAGGAATATAAAACAAACAAAAACTGAGCTTTTGAATGATAAAACATCTTCAAGGCTGTGCATCATGTTCTTGTGGGTAAATCCAAAATAACCCTGGGGGAAAAAGAGAGCTTGACTGCTATTATAATTGAGCCCTCCCCCTGAATTAAGTGAAAAATAATGCACAACTCTGCGTTCCCTTCAAATCTACATCCCAACTGTGTGCCCCTTTAGTGCTCTTCTGTGTTGCCATGTCAATAGTGCACTGAAGGAGTAGTCAGCAACCACAACACTGCTTTTTCTTTGAAGGTACTGTAGTACTGCATGTTTTTTAATAGAACCCTTATACACATCTTTGCATCCGCTGAGTCTGGTTTTATATTTCTTTCCCTTTTGCATGAGACATAAATTTTATGCTTTAATTTTGTAAAACTTTTTATGTTGCTATTTTCTTCATGTTAATTACATTTTAACTGCTTCAGTTGGTATACTTTAATCATTGTTATTATTCCGCTGAAATTATACTGCTGTTGTTGCTGATCTAAACAAAATTGAAAAGAATATGACAGATTATTTATTTAGTCCATTAAGTAAGCTTATATAAAAACATGTCTGTAAGGAGAATATTCAGGACCTGCCTGCCAGGCTTCAGCACACCCTCTGCCACCTTGAAACCAGTCCTGGAGTCCCTGCTTTTCTAATAATGTCACTTTTGGTTGTAGTGGGTTTTTTGGGCTTTTGGCCGTGTTCTGAAGGTTGTTCTTCCTCACGTTTCGCCAGTCTCTGTGGCCGGCATCTTCAGAGGACAGCACTCTGTGCTCTGGTGTAGTTGGCTTTGGGAGTACAGTATTTATGGCTGTGAGATAGGCATTTGTCTTTTTCTGTAGATGTGTGATTAGTGTGTATTGTTGTGGGTGCATTGTTGTGCTAAGGAGAAGAGATTATCTGTTCCTGTGGTTTTGTTGAGCTTCACACTTTCCTCTTTTTTGTTGAAGTTTTGCTGGTGCTTGTGGATTTCAATGGCTTCCCTGTGCAGTCTGACGTAATGATCACTTTTGATTTGTTTAAAAATTGCTGTTATCTGTTGTGCATGTTTGTAAATGTTGTCTGACACACACTTATACGCACAAAGGGCTCTGAAAATAGGGGAGATGAGAACCTTCCTTGGGAACAAGCACGATAAAGCATGGTGTTAGAATATCATATCCAGCTACACTGGAGATGCCAGCTGTTGAGGGTTAGTGCTACTATACTTTCCAGTAACATGGGAAGCAGTATTGCCATTTGGGATAGCTGTTCAACATGCACTAGCTCATAGAGGTGGCTAGGACTGGAAAGGAACATATACATACTTGTGTTTCAGCCTTCTTATAGAAAGTTTAGAGCGCCTTATATTGAACACCCAGTGTGGGATAGCTGTTCAACATGCACTAGCTCATGGAGGTGGCTAGGACTGGAAAGGAACATATGCATACAGTACTTGTGTTTCAGCCTTCTTATAGAAAGCTTAGAGTGCCAGTGTCCTTGGTACTGAGCAAATGTGTAGATAGCTAGAAGCATTGTGCAATCTCACAGCAATGTTGTTAGTCTCCTTTGAAATCAGGTATTTCAGTTCCAGCTCTCAGCTGCATATCATTGCTGAAAATCATGTACATATGAAGAGGATGGCCAGACATGAAACTGAGTTATTTTTTGTTGTTGTTCTGATGCTTATGTTTTTATTGTTGTTTAGTCATTAGGTCATGGCCGACTCTTCGTGACCCCATGGACCAGAGCACGCCAGGTGACATACATAAATAGAAACTGCAACACTGCTGGTAGCAGGGACTTGATGGTTCTACTGAAAATCAAAACTTTTTTTCCTTGTAAGAGAAAAGATGGGAGGGATGGAATTTTTTTGCCCATGAGAAGGGAACGGTGTAAGAGATGGTAGTTTTGTTTGCCTAGCATGTATGGAGAACTGATTGGTGATGAGATTAAGAGAGAGGGCTCTTTTGCTCTATGGCATTTCATTTACGTGACATGACATTCTGTAGCTAAGGTGGCAGTTTACACATCACCAAATTAATTCATTTGAAATGTGGTGTTACAGAGCTCTACAGTGCTACGAACTGCTACAAAGACAAATGAGTGGATTCTGCATCAAATCAAGTCTGAATTTTAACTGGAAGTGAAAATAACTAAACGGAAGTAATCATACTCTGGACCTATAAGAAGGCAACTAGATTCACTAGAAAAGACAATAATGTTAGGAAAAGATTAAGGCAATAGGAAAAGAGGAAGACTTAGAAAGATCTGGATTGACTTAGGTCCAATGGTGTAACTTGCAGTGAAGTTGCTGCTAGCAGTCCTTGCCGCATGCCAATTATGTGAGTTGATGTGTGATGAAGGGATACAAGAAGCGACTTGTTGATTATGATAATTTACTACTGCAATTTATGTCACTCCACTTGCTCTGACATAACTACCCAGTAGGATTCTGGTCACTGTCAGATTACAATAGGTTAAAATTGGAACACAACACAGAAGGATATATTTTCTTTATCATTATTGTTGGAGAGAGGATGACAAAAAGACTATGTACCAATACACTTCCAGTAGTGAATGTTACACAAACAAGTAGTTTTGATGTAAGCTTTAGCAATAGGTTTTTAAACTTTATTTACCACCTGATTAAAGCATGGAATACAATAGTATTATACATAATATTTCATGTAAAAAAAAATTTACATAGCTTTTTGCATCATATAATTATTCCGCTATTCAAAAATGTATACATCCATTGGGCAAGGAATGCTTTTCATTAACTTAATGATATTCAATGCACTTCATAATAGAAGGTCTCTTAAGAAAAAAAAGTAGCTTGTAACTAATTTTAGGCATTATATAGATAAAACATACATTTTGCACAAAGTATATTTTATTTAAAGTTGCAAAGAGATATTCTGGACAAAATGTTAAGACATTTAAGGAATTGCACATCTCAAGAGTCAACATTTTCTGTTTGTTTGCTTGCTTCAAGTCAAGGATCATATCACATTATCCAATAAAATGTTAAAATATTTGAGGCAAACATCACTGGCCGCTTATACTGGCTTGCATCCATTTCAGCTGAACTATGCCAGTGGTGAGTGAGTTATCATTATGAAATACAATGTACAAAGCATTAAGCAAACTTAGTCTAACAACTCATCAATAAAATAAGCCAGATTGTGTGCAAATATGCAGGCTTAAGACACACAGTCTGTAGCCTCAGTTTGAATCGATACTACAGAACTGTAATTGGAGGAACTGTGATGCTTCTGTGTTTTAGAATTGACACAAACTATCAGAAAATAGTGTGAAAACAAATAAAAGTGCTATTTGCTCCTTAAGACAATACTGGGAGGAAGCAAAATTAAGGTCACCTTCAACATTCTTTAAGGTTGTTTCCTTTCTCACTTGTTATTGTATGGTGCCTCTTCTATGTTGTTTTGAACAATATTCTAAACACTTAATTTGTGGCATGGCTTACCGTATTTTTCGCTCCATAAGCCTCACCAAATTTTTAGGAGAAAACAGGAAAAAAATAATCTGGGAATTTCAGCCTGCTGGGCCAACGGGGTGACCCTTTGGAGGCTTCCCCCACCCTCATCCCTGCTGGCCCAGCAGGCCGAAATTCCCAGATTATTTTTTCCTGTTTCCTTCTCCTAAAAAATTGGTGAGTCTTATGGAGAGGCATGTTTTATGGAGCATACCCTAGGACCCTTTGGAGCCTCACCCAGCCCCCCACGGGGGGCCAGACGAGCCTCCAAAGGGTCCTGGAACACACCCTACGACCCTTTGGGGGCTCACCGTGCCACCCCCACGGGGCCAGAGGGAGTGAAATCGCCACCTTCAGGGACTCTTCTGAAGCTTCCCAAGCCTTAAAAGAGCCCCTGAAGGTGGTGATTTCACTCCATAAGACGCATACTTTTCCGTTTTTTTGGGAAAAAAGTGTGTTTTATGGAGCGAAAAGTACGTACAGTGGTGCTTCGCTTAACGAGCGCACCGTATAACGACGAAATCGCATAGCGATCCTTTTTTTGGATCGCTAATGCGATCGCTCAATGTCGTTTAGATAGGGCAAAAATCGCTTTATGAAGATCGGTAAGCATTTCGCTTACCGATCTTCGCAAAATGAAGCCCGACGATCAGCTGTTCGGCGGACAAAATGGCCGCCGGAAGCTCCGTAATGGCCGCGCACAGCGTTTTCGCGCCCTCCCCTCACTTAACGAGGGCGCGAAAATGGCTGCCGGCCATAGGAAACCTCGCTGAACGGTGAGTAAAGGAGCCTTTTGGAACGCATTAAACGATGTTTAATGCATTCCAATGGCTTTCCCTGTCCCGTTCAGCGATGTTTCGCTATAGCGAAGGTTAATCCGGAACGGATTAACCTCATTATGCGAGGCACCACTGTATATTAATCAAAATGGAGAATTTCAAAATACAAGAGTATATTATAAACAAATGCAGATGTCATGCTGGATGACTGTGGTCACAAGATCAAAGGCAAACTGTGGAGCTTGTGAATATTATTTATCTTCTCTGGATCCCATTTTTTCCACTGTTTCCCACCAGATTTAATCATAGGCTAGTACTATGTCTGCATGAATAACGATGACTAATACTAATCTTGTTATGTAAAGTTAGAAACCAGAATTTGAAATATATTTGCAAACCCAGGTTAAGACAGAACGTGGTTAGAATTGACAATGTTGATGCTGCGGATGTAAGAGTAAACCAAGATTAATGCTAAAGAGGAAAGGGGACCAGACCTGAGAAGGAAATAGGGAGCATGCAGATCTGCTGCCTCAGGTGATGGCTGACTTGTGTTTTTGATCTTTCAAAGACATTGGATGAACACTCATGTCTTAAATGGACAATTAATTCACCATTTGATGTATGATACAGAACTCTATTACTGGACTGCACCAGCTTATGAAAATTTAATACTGGTTGAAAAACATCACAGAAAATACTGTAATTAACCTGCAAATCTTCTCCACCATTAGAGTTCAAATGAAATTTCTGTAAAAGCTCCTAGGGAAATTCCTACAATTGTTCATGAAAGTTGGTAATGCCAAAGAACCCCATTGTCACAGGAAAGAACATGTTCCAACATGACATATACTGTTACCACTGTCCACAAATTTTTCACACAAAACTTTCAGAATAAGGCTAGTATGAAATCTCTTTCATATCCACTCACACACTTCACACCATGATAAATGGTGTAATATTGTAGTTACCCCATGTGTTTTTAAATTAAAGTACAACCATTTGAAAATGTAATTTTTGACTGCTAAACACAGCTTTCCTAAGGAAATAAAGTCATTTAATACTAATGCTTTAAAAGGCTCCAGGTTTTATATATATATAATCACAGATCTCATATATAAAGCTTCTTCACAGTATTTTACATTGCTGGAGGATAACCCTTTCAATCACAGGGGTATTGCACTTGATTATGAAACATCAGTTGTAATGCTGCCATGCTCCCTTAATGAAGTCAAATGGTTGCAAATCTGAACAGATAGTTCAACAATAACAACAACAAAAAGATCTGGGGGGGGGGTCTAGCTGAATTTTTACAACACATTGACAGAAGAACTAAAGCAGTGGGGAAAGGAGAAATAATTCAGTTAAAAAAAAATACAGTATACAAATGTGTATACCGACATTTTAAATAGATAAAAAAATAAACTGAACATGGTGAAATTTCTCTTTGCACCACAAACATAAATATCTAAATTACTTTACATGCTAACAAAAATTTAGGACTTTTTCATCTCTTCTTTTTGCCCATGGTAAAATGGTATCACAATTCTTTCTAATAAGCTACTTATATTTTTGTCAAGTTACTTCACAAGAGACAAAATGCTGCACTTGCTACATAAAATTCTTTGGTAGAGAAATTAAACGTCAAAATTGTTTTTATTAATGGTCCAAAACAATCTAAAACCCACAAAACTTTGCTATAAATGAAAACTTGAGAGATAGAAAGCACCAGTATTTAATAAAAATAAATAAATCTAGCTATCAATTCTTGCCCTCCCAAAACTGTAACAACTTTGATTGTGCTAACAATTGATCTCAATTTACTACAAAGGAAGAAGATCCAAAGACACTGAACCTAATTGTTCTCAAAAATTATAGTCTTCAAATTAACTTACTTCAGACATGTGTGCTTAGGATAGCAGACAACCAATCAGTATTTTGCTTCCTGATTAGTTACATACTTGGACAAGATGTGTTTGCAGATATGGGTAAGGGGTAAAATATTTGATAATACTTTTACATCTATATTTCTAATGCATTGGACGGAAATAATTTCCTTCTTGCCTTATGCAAGAGTGAAATATAACTGCACAGGTTTTTCCTGTCCTATAATTTAAAAAAAATTCCTTTACTGGGCAAAGAGTACTAAGACATGATCTTATCAAAAGAAAAGGAAAAAAACACCCAAACCAAACCCTGAATTAAAAAAACTCTCAGATCCAAATCAATACAACAGAAATGCACTGATACCATTGCTTCTTATTGCCTCTGAATAAACAGGCTTTTGTCAAAAGTACATTTGCACTTATATTAATAAATCAAGTGGTCCCAATAGGAACCAGACTCTTCTCCCTCATACCACTAATGATAATAAAATATTAACCAAGCCATTAAAACAACCATAACACACAATTTTTCAGTAAAAATAGAAATATCTCAATACATAGTAAAGATAGACTACTTTTACCCAAATGCTATTTATATATTATTGAAAAGGGAACAGTTTGATCAACCATTATAAATTTTAATTTAATCAGTATGTACTTCAAAGGTTAAAATTTAAAACTTACATTTTTCCATTTACTTCCTATTATTAAATGTTCAGAATCAAAACGATTTTCAAAGCTGTCAAGCTTCTTAAACATTCAAGTCATAAGGGATTTACTAATTGGATTAAGAGACTACTGTAGAATGTTTTCTTCTTTTTGTTTGCAATAATGTGTTTTCCAAATTGTTTGGTCAATACTAACCTATGTTAAGGAAATTTTTATCTGATTGAAATGATTCAGTCCAGGCCATGAAAATACAGTGCTGCTGTAAGGATCATCTACCACATGCATTCTGCAACATTCAGGAAGCTGGCAGCAGGAGAGATGAAGATAAACACTGCTTTAGATTTTTGCCGGGTGACCGGTCATATGACTGCCTAGTCATTATCTTGCCATGTGTTTATGGGACAGCACAGAACCATTGAGAGAGCCAGTTTCCAAACTGAATGCATCCCAAAGGAAAAAGAAACATTCCAGCATAATTTTCAGATGAACTTCAACCCTCTTGAATATTTATTAGTACATTTGCTAACATCACAAGCCTATGTGTGTGTGTGTGTGTTTTATCTCATGGAAATAGCTTCCACTCATTAATTATGTCCAGCACATTATACGCAGTTAACTGAAAGGTGTTAAAAAGAACCGTTGTAAATGAGACAAGCTCGGTGGTAAGAATGACTGGATATTTACTCCATTTAGTTGTCAAATGCTAACAGCTATTCCTATAGGACAGCCAGAATTTTAAAAAAAGAGTATCCTTCAGAAATAGCAGCTTCATCAATGTAACTCTGCTGCTCCCATGGTTGTAGCTTCTTTTTCTTCTTGAAAACTCCCAATTACGTGTCTCTATCTGTATCCGTTCTTATTTGCTTGTCTGTATTCTTTGAATTAAGCATGACTCAAGCTTTGGAAAACTGCTACCACAGCACTACCATGCAGATGAATGCATCCCCACCGTTGGTGACTGTGCTTCAGGAATCCAGATTTTGAACACTACACCTATACGCAGGAAAAACTTCCGCAGCACAGCTCGGAGCTCTGGGATCAAATCAAACTGCATTATTTCACATAGGTAGGGATAATATGTTGACGCATGTGCTTTGAACTGGGGAGGAGAAAACAGGAATAAAGTTAAGTGACCTTACAAAAGGAGCATCTCCAGCAAGTATTATTTTAACAGTACTCAGTCTCAGAATAAGGCTTAGTAACATCCAAATTTGGAAAACACATGTCTCCTAGCCCAGCGGTCCCAAACCGTTTTTGGTCCACGGACCAGCTGGGGAAGGCAGGGCCCCCCTGTGTGCTCACGCACAAACGGCGGTGCAGCGATTGTCTGGGCGCACTCGTGCGCAGGCGCAAACGCACTGTGGGGGTGTGCGCATGGGGGGTGGGACGGGAGATCTGTCTTGGTGGCCCAGTTTGGCTCAGGCCACAGACCGGCACCGGGCCGTGGACTGGGGGTTGGGGACCTCTGTCCTAGCACATTGCACAGGAATATCAATGGTTTGAAGTAGAGATGGGCACAAACTGCCTGTTCAGTGGTTCAGCATGGCTCGTTTACTGGCCCAACAGCTGATCCGTGGTTTGTTGCCCTTCCTCCTTCAGTGTGTGCCCCCTTGGAGGCCGCATGCCGACCGATCTGCTCCACCTTCTCTCGGCACTGCCTCTGAGTGGGTGCCTGTCAGAGGTGGTAGGGCAATAAACTGTGGGTCAGCTGTCGGGCTGGTAAACGAACCACACCAAACCTACAGTTCATGCCCATCTCTAGTCTGAGATATTATGAATCCATTTATAAAAAAACCTATTTAATAATTCCTCTGGAATTCAATCTGTTGTAAAGATAAGCTATACATCAGACTCTGAACCAGGTCTGGATCCCAGAAGATGCAAGATTCATTTGTGGCAAAAAAAGTTCAACAGTGGTTAGATATTCTACACTTAATGTTGTACTACTGGGCCATTGTACATAACGGCCCAAGTCTGTCCAAGGACAGGCATGTAATAATACACTGCTATTTTTTCATAGCACTCACATTATTGTGGAGCCATGAGACTTCCTGGACCATTATTTAAAATCCATCTGGTTCCCCCAGAAAATACCTATCCCTAGTCTACCAGACAGTTGTTCTATTTTTTTGTTTATTTACTGCAAATATTCTACATTGCTGCTTCATTAAAAGCAATCACAAGAATGGTGTGTGTATCATTATTACAACACATTTATATATATAACAGAGGCATGTGCATTTATAAATCTTTTAAAGTGTGGGTATTGGTAAGCACACTAGAACGCAATTCCAGGTATGATGTTGCTGGATATGATGACTACAGGAACAAGAGTATACAGTAGCTTCATATAAGAGTGGTACATTTTGTATGTGAAGCTTAGATAATAATACTTTCTTACCTTCTCATCACTGACTTTTAGTGTTTTTGTTAAAAGTAACAACAAGAGATTGGTCCAGGCCTCTCGGTGGCTTTCTGAGTTCACAGTAATAAAGTAAGCCAAGGCTTCCGTACATACGCTAAAGAAATATGATGCATACATTAAGTACATAAAATTTGAACAGAAAGTAATCAGAATGGATATATTCTGCTATGTCTCTTCAAGTCTAGTGGTATAAGTGGGAATTTTGATAGATGCCATTTAAATACAAAAATGAAAGTGACAGAGTACTCTACGGTTTTTAATTTTATTTTTTTGGCACAAGATTGCCTTTACAAAAGTTATTTTACTGAAACTGTTCAGTTGTATTTCTTTATCTCATAGCAAAAAGCATTCCTTTTTCCTACAAAGACACTGTTGAATGGAATTAGAAAAAGGCATACTGAAGTCAGCATTTGTGTTTGTTTTAACTAATGGAATAGTAGTCATCAGTGTCCCCATGTAAACATGAGGGTGTTTCCACCTTTAAAGGCCGACTTCCCAAATAACCCAAGCAGGACCCAATCCGAACATGCATCCTTTTGTATATTTTCACTGGATTCCACTGCTCAAATGAACAGGACATTTTAGAAGGGGAAATCCAAGGTAAGTACTGGAAATTCACAACCATAAAATGTCATTGGATTGGGCACAATAACATTTTTGAAGAGTAGAGATAATGCTTACTTCAGGAGTCTCTCTTGTATAGCTTCCCATGAGTCTCTGCGGTTTTCATCAACGTACATTCGGAAAAGGATTCTTAGACAGCAGGCCAAGCTGCTGGTCTCTTGTTTCAAAAGATTGGGTTTTGATTTACCTTTGAATCCTACAAATTAAGGAGGACAGTTATGTACTCACATATTCTTACACCCTTAGAAAAAGCCAAAATACCTTTGTGGAATAAGCAACTATACAGCTGCTCCAGTCTAACCTACATTTCTTCCAGATGAGGTTCCAAATGTACATTGACAGGACACACATAGGGCTTAGGAAGTGGATAAAGCAGCCATGAAAGGGCTTCAGGATTAAAGGGCTGCGATCGTGCAACCTTTACCCGAAGGGAGCCTTCCCTTCCTTTTTGCGAAGCCCTGTGGCTTCGCAAAAAGCAAGGAGAAGCGGTGGTCAAAGGGAGCCCTTTGATCCCTGCTTTTCCCTTCCTTTGGCTAAACTGTGTGGCTTAGCAAAAAGAAAGGAAAAGCGGGATCAAATTTTCTAATTTGAGGTTGGTGAATAAAGCAGCCATGAAAGGGCTTCAGGATTAAAGGGGTGCGATCATGCAACCTTTACCCGAAGGGAGCCTTCCCTTCCTTTTTGCTAAGCCCTGTGGCTTCGCAAAAAGCAAGGAGAAGCGGTGGTCAAAGGGAGCCCTTTGATCCCTGCTTTTCCCTTCCTTTGGCTAAACTGTGTGGCTTAGCAAAAGGAAGGGAAAAGTGGGATCAAATTTTCTAATTTGAGGTTGGAAAAGGGGTGGGGTTGTCTTATACATTGAGTCAACTTATAAACTGAAAAATACGGTAAATTTGAAGCCAGTTGCAGTTAAAAACTACCGTGTGTGTGTGTGTGTGTGTGTGTGTGTGTGTGTGTGTGTGTGTGTGTGTGAGAGAGAGAGAGAGAGAGAGAGAGAGA